TGGGGTGGAGCCCTGCCAGCTGCAGGAGGGCCCCCCTCACTTGGCCCCCCCTGTGCTGCCACCCCCACCCCGTTCTGACTCGGCCACTCTGGGCTCGCAGGAGAAGGAGAAACTCGCGATGCTGGAAAGAAGGTACCACTCACTCACGGGAGGCAGGCCTTTCCCGAAGACCACGTCGACCCTCAAAGAGGTAACGTGGTTGGGTCAGCCCTAGCTCCAGGCCCAAGGGGCTTCCTGGGAGGCCCTGGAGCGACGTGTGGCACCTTCTCCCCAGTAGCTGAGGCTGAATACTGGGGACGTTCTCCTGAACCGGAGAGATTTGAGTGCGAGTGGCCCTGAAGTCTGGGATCTGACCTTCTGTGGCTACCGGCTGCTGCTTTGCGGATACCTTTCTGGCTCCTAGGAGCTTACCGATGTTACCATTTTGGGTGATCAAATCCATCTGGGGGATTCAGGAGGCATGAGTGGGGAAGGCGGGAAGCTCAGAGGTTTGGGAAGGGCCAGGGCCGGGCAGCCTCACTTCGAGGGTTTGCACAGGAATCCAGGGGCCCTGCTCTTGGAGCTCCTCGGGCTTCAGTCTAGAACGAGGCTCTTGGCAGCATAGTGGGCACTGACAGCCCTTAGGCGGTCCTTTCCTGAGTCTTTGCCTGCTTGGGGCGTGAGGTCCAACTAGGACATGCCCAGGTTCCCGAGCTCTTTCCTTTTCTTCCCACCTCCCTGCCACTGAGGCCTGGCGTGGGCGGCCCCTCACCATGTCCCCTCTCTGTAGGCCGAACTGCTCATCTCCGAGTCCTCAGGGACTGCGAGTCTGGTCCCTTTCCCGGGGTCTTCTCAGGCTGGGGCCTCCTCTGTCCCCCTAATCCCACCTGCTTCCACTCAGCTCTGCCCCAAAGCACAAGAGGTAATCCCAGCTAACTGCCTGCTCTGCTCTGCCCACTGCCCGTCTGCCCGCTTGCCGAGCTCCTGCCTCCAGCTCCTGCCAAGGGCCTGGCTCGGGGGCGTGTGGCAATAATCCTCTGGCCAGAGTTTGTGCGAGTGTGAGTGAGCGCGCCATCCTGCTGCTCCATAGAGGGCCCGGGCAGGCTATGCAAAATCAGCACCGGCTTGCGTATTAATTTGCACGTGATCTGCATGCCATTCATTAGTGCTCACAACACACCGGATCCTCCCGCTCTTTTTCCCTTTCCCTGACCCCCGGAGGACAGTTGCCCTCTGGGGCTCCGCCAGGCCGGGGCTCCCCCTGGATGGGTCAGGCTTGGGACCCGGCGCATTCAGTGTGCATTTTGGAGGCCTGCCGTGCCCCCACCGCCTAGATCAGCTCAGGGGACTAAGGATATGCTCAGGGAGGGTGACAGTCCCTGTCCTCCCACACCGCAGTCTGATGCGCTAGTCTCTTCCTACGTACTAACCCTTGGGGGGTGGGCCCGTTTTTCCGCCTGGGCTCTTAGCTGCTCCCTGCTGAGGCCTCTTTCTCAAAGCCCATCTAACTCACCCACTGAGTGAGCCTACCCCTCCCAGCTCTCGCCCCAGCACATGGGTGCGAGGAGACCCTCGGGAATGGTGGCTGGTGCTCGATGCAGTGTGTGCGTGCCCCACTGGGGCCCAAGATGGGGGAGACAGAAGGACTCTCTGGGAGTTGGGTCCTGATTCTCGGTGGACTCTCGGAAGGCCTTCCCTTGGCTTCTCCTGTCCCCAGCCCAGAGCAAACCCAGGGATGGGCCTTCAGAGTCTGCCCTGGGCAGGGCCGGGATGCCAAGGCAGCCTCAAAAGTACAGGTCAAGAAGTGCCTTCAGACAGTTCTGCCTGCCCTTTTCTGGCCCCTCCCTCCCCCCAGCTGTCTCCGGTCACGGGAGACAGCTGAGTCCCCCTCCTGCACCCCCTGCCATGCTCCTTGCTCTGGATCTTGTATTGAATGGAGTGATGGCCCTAGGGCATGGAGTGTGGGTGTCAGGTGCCTGGTTGTACCCTGTTGACCTCTCTGCCCATCCCTCCCCCTCCCACCGGGCACCCTAGGAGTATGTGAGCCTGGCAGAGGTTCTCCAGCTGTGCTTCCGCTTGGACCCCCATGCTTCTGCCACCTCCCCCAGCGTGCTCGCCCAGCCCCTGCCTGACAGTGAGGTACCGGCCACTGAGTGAGCCCACCTGTGCCCAAGGGCCTCCTGTGGATGCCCAGGTTGTCCCTCAGTCCTGGGTGGGGCTTGGGGGACAATGGGTCTGTGTCCAGCGGTGAGGGAGAAGGGCAGCTGGCAAAGGGGGGTTGGGAGTGGGTCCCTGTATGGCCTGGGGCCTCGGGAGCTTCAGCTCCTGATGGCTCAAGGCCAGGCAGCCTTCTGCTTGGGCGTGAGGGCGTCGTCCTGCCTAGAGAGGGCTTCCTTT